TTTAACGGAATCCAAAAAGTTTTTCGCAGAACTATTTCAAATAACAAGTAGATTCGTTTTAGCGAAAAAAAATTTTGGGGGTTAGGTGCACTTTAAGTAGTTGTGAAATTAAAGCGTGAAAACAACATTCAAGCTTGAACCCATGACCTCTGCGATATCGGTGCAGTGCTCTACCAACTGAGCTATCAAGCCAACGACGATGTGTGTGTTTACTGATTCCAATTCAAATTAGCAGTTAACTATTCAATGCCAATACGGTACATTTTAGTAGTATGTAATGGATAGGTGGAAACATTGGTATTTTGTCGAGTTAACAGGTACATGGCCGGCTAGACGAGCTCTGTCACGTGACCCCCTAGACTAGCACTTCATGTAAGCATACTCTTTACAGTGTTAACCGATTTTATGTGATGCTTCTGCAACTGCAGGGTTGGCTGTCATGCCTGAGGAAGACTTGTTAGAAGATTCGAAGGACATTGAGATCATCGAATTCACTAGTCCAAGCACGGCAGTGGACAGTGGTGGTCCTGTATTGCCATCTTTTAGCCTCACAGCAGGCTCGTCGGAGTCGTGCATGTTTAGTTCGCCTCACTTAAACCGGTCACCGGTGGAGGAGAAGCCGAACATAGCACAGGATGGATCGATTTACGGCTTTAAGACCGAACGAAGGAGTGGCGATGCTACTCGCATCGAATCTAAACCGAATCCGTCCGCATATGAACAAATTAACCTCATCAAGCAGTTCCTGATGGGCGGAGATCCTAACCCTCCATCAAATGTTCACCAATCTGACAACACCGTTAGGATAAACGGAGGAAGCCTTCATGATATTCCTCCACTATGGTCGAATTATCCCGTAGAAACATCGCCAGTCCTGACAGAAATAAACTTTCAGCAAGATGACAGAGGTTCAGGCCTTTATCCGCCGCAAAATGGGATGCAGTCATCCTTTCACGCGAATGATTGTCGCGTTCCGGTGATGTCAGAAGGCCACGCAAATCTTCCCCAATTTGGTAGACCTGAACAACCTGATACAGATAACCTTATATATCCATTTCCAACCAATATGAACGGTCACCTGAATCCTTCAAACTCCTTTACAAACGGTGTAGGGAGGCAGGACATTCCTGAACTACCAGTAAGTATCGACAGCTTTAACAAACCAATGCAAAATGGTTCGGATTTCATTCCTGCCTTCCCCTTCCAAGATGGAAGCCTTCGTTATCCTTTTAAGCAGCAGTACCATACTGGCCAAAATGGATTCAGTCCCGCGGAAAGAACGGGTGGTTTCCCAAAGGTAGCTGATTGCGCTTCTACAAGTCACCTTGTTCACGATTTTAAAGTGAACGCAGGTGTCCCAGGAGTACCAAGGCAAGACACGACTCTGTGGTTTTCATCACCCGACAACGGTCAGTTGACTCCGGACGTGGACATTCCTCCGATTGAAGACGTGTTAAGTGTGGATGACCTTACGCCAAGCTTGTGTGTGGAGCATATGGCTCCTTATAGGAATCCTGCAAAGTTCCAAAACGGCAACATCATGGACTCCGTGCATACAGGGAATGTGTTTCCTCCTCCGAACGGCATTCACTTGAATCAGCCCATGGGTCAAAATGTTCAAAAGCAAAACTTTCAGAATACACCCGCAAATGGCAAAAGCGTGGATCCAACAGGTGGAAACAGCTTGCTGAAAATGATGCTCACCTCATGAATAGAAGTTTACACTGTAGTGGTTGTTCGCATGAAGACAGAGGTGATTGGAGACCCGTCAATTATCCCTCTAAGATGTTAGAAAACCCAGTAATGGCCTCTAATGCTTCATCTGCTAACAACTGCTCCAGTTTAAACCAGAGCTACATGTAAGTGTGTGTTGTAAGGTAAAAGGAGCTGTTCAAGGTTGAAAGTGTACCGACGGTAGAAATATATTGCAAAAGCTGCTTGGTGCTATAAGTGTGAAACAGAACACAGCGAGGCTTCGGTTAAACTTAGCGAACAGCTCCGATTTTCCATCTGTGGCTCGAATATTTTGCTAAAGGTATTGGATACCTTAAGCCAATTATTTGTCGGAAGTTCGTCGATATTTCTCCGTTTACTGGCGGAAGTTTGTTTGTAGAACGTGGTGAGTCTGCGTGGAATGTCTGGGAAGTTCGTCTGTGGTTAGTCTTTCGTTACAAGCTGATATGTAGTCGGTAAAATGTCGGTCGTTTGTCGGTTAAATGTCGGTAGTCTTTGGGTTGTTTGTCGGTAGATTAAGAATGCGGGTGAGTCGATGAGGCGATAGGTGGACGGTAAACAGGTCGGTAGATTATTGTCGTTGGGGAAAGATGGAAGCCACTCGCTCAAAAACCACCACTCAGAGTTATTTTCTAACAGTTTTTTTTTCTGAGGACAGTTCTGCGGAATTCACTTTAGAGATTTTATGGCGCCAAATAATGAGAGGTATGTTACATGCAGCTTTCATGTGGCTGACAGAGAGGTGGTCGAACATTTAGGGCTTGACATGCTGTAGTGTCCAGAAAATGTGTGAAGTTAGACCGCTATCCTGACGTTACTTCGATAAAAAAACAAATGTCTTTCTCGTTTTCTGGCCAGTGTAAGACTAACCAACAGAACAAATTATTTTGATGTGCTGTATTAAACTGATTAATGGATATCTTAATAGGCAAATATTGAGTATATTTCATCTCTCTAAGAGCCAGCCATTTAGTTTTGTAAATTTGAACATTTCGTTAGTGAGCCACCTATGCCATCAGCACGTGTTGTGCGTTGTATTAGGGAGCCTAAGCAAACCACGACGAACGAGAACGTCACTAAACAAAAGGTTTAATGGGCAAAACAATGGCTGTGCACGTGGTTAAAATTCTTGGTACATTTCTTTGCCGTCCTCTGGAAAACAACAACGTGAAATGACCAAGTTCTGCGTCGTCTACTGAACGTGGACGACGACGGCTATTTTTTCGCATTTCCATTTGGAATTGAACGCTGTCATTGCATATTTTGCCTGAGCACGTTTTTAGAGCCATTGGCCTACCGAACAGATCTAGACAATCGCGAATTTTGCTGGTAAAATATAAATTCGTTTTCTACTAGGCGTCGTCCTCGACGTCGTCGTCGTCGTCGTCGTTGCTTAAGTTCCCTATTGTTTTGTGCTGTGCTGTGTTCTACGCCGTTGTGTTTTTAGATATTTCACCCTGCCACCCCAGATCGCTCGCTCCCATTCCCTCCTCTCCCTGAGCGATATTCTTGGTTTTTGTGTGACGTCATCGCCGCCATCCAACATGGCGGCGACTTTGTCGTTTTTCTATCTCTTGAGATTGGCTGCAAACCATCAATATTTGGCCGCGCATGGCCGCTTCTGTCAGGGGAGAGTCGTTATTAATTATCGTGTTCTGAGTAAATCTATTGGAGTTAAAATTCATCTACATTATTTCATTGACAACCTGGCTAGTTACCTACATTAACCATTTCATAACATAAGTGAACGAGAACGTAATCTTGATTATAAAAAAAAAAAGCTTATTACTGTATATAATAATATAATGTCCAATATATGATCAATTGTGTTATTATTTATACATAATTGAGTAATGGTGTTTTATCTGAAATACTCGTTGTATTAGAAAACTTAAGATTAGCTATTTTACGCAGTGCAGGTTAGATTGTTGACAGTGTCATAGATTTAAATTGTGTTAGGAGATGGTAAAGCCTCACCTACGTCATTGTATTTCTTTAAAAAAAACTCGACGAAGTGATTTTTGTAGGGCTATTTTAGACAAATAATGGGAGCGCGGGAGGAGGAGGGCTCTCGTGTTAAAGGAGTTAGGATGCTCGTCGCCTCTTTTTGTGATGTAAACGAGTATTTGGTATCACATGAGATGTTCACAGAAACCGAAACTGAACGCCAATGTTATCAAACAAAACATCTTTTAGCATGTTTTAGGGTTGCATGCGAAGAAATATCAAACGCCTTCAAACTGTGTTAGCGGTTTTCGATCGATAGGGTTCACAAAAAGTTTTTTTTTTGTCCGGTTTGGAATGGACCCTTCAGGACGCGGTCAAAAAAGCTAACCCTATATAAGACGTGAATTGAAATTTTGTGACAAGCATACCACCCCACCCTTTAACATGGGAGTACCCCCCCCTAACTGGGAATGGCTGCTAAGCTGTTAGGAAGAGAAGGTGACTAGCGATGGCTAACATCTTGTTGCAGGAGAAATTCAAATTGCTATATATATTGAGATGCCATAAAGAGAACTTTTTATTCGACCAATCACGGATCATTTCTTGAGTTGATTAAACTTGAGCTTTGAGCAAGCATCCTGAAGTCAGTTCTTCAGAGCAGTTTTCAATTAACTCCTCCTTTGCTCTTTCATTTATTTAACATCCAGCTGCTTATCATTTTCTTACCAATCAGAGCAGACGTGTTTTTTAAAGGTTGTTTTCACTAGCGACGGCGATACGATGTAGTGAAAATCAAAACGACGGAGTTGGAAGCAGAACACCCATTCCGCCTATGATTTCATCGCTTACGATCTAGTGAAAACTAGATTGTGGAGTCGAAGCAGACACGGAGGAATAAACCAATCACAATGATCGATTTCAGGCCTTGTGATTGTTTTTTTGGTTTCTGTTTCCGACTCCGACAATCTAGTTTTCACTGGGTCATAAGCGAGGGAGTCGTAAACGGAATCGGAAGAAATGGAAACATTCCGATTCTTCCGACTCCAATTCCGTCGAGCTTATGAATCCGCTTACGAATCCGATTTTCGATTTCACTAGGTCGAAAGCTCTTTTACGACTCCGACTGCGTCGCCAGGGAAAACCAGTCTTGGCCAATCGTGTCCTGCCTAGCTGTATTTACCTTGCGTGCGTTTAAATCTCCCGCGCTCAGCGCGAATTTTTTCCGTCGAATTCCGATAGGAACAGTCTTTTGGTTGTAATTGGCCAGATGTTGTAACTTAGACTCTGGCTTACAACTGCCGTGAGAAATCCACAGAAACATAACTCGGGTTGCTGTTAATTAAGTAACCCGGCCGGAATTTACAGAGCCATCAATTTCAGTTCATTTCTCTCTCCGTGTTGCAACTTAAGGTCAATCGGCCCAACCCGCGTGTTAACAAACTTACTTTAGTTATGGTGGAGCCCACCCTGCGAGACAGAGATTCCCTTTTATTTCTGCTCGGTGAGAGACGAGAGGGAATCTTAGAGGTTCCCCCACGTTTCTCACCGAGCAGAACGAGAAGGAAATCTCTGTTTCGCAAGGTAGGTGGAACCATTTTGTTTAATCTAACGGTAAGGTAGACTTTCAGAAAAGTCCTTCGTCTTGTGCATTCATGACCTCGTCCCTCGCTTGGTCGCTTGGCGACCTTCGCACGGTAGCCTGCGTCACAGACAGTCTAAACAGGGTGTGGTCCTATACCAGGGATTTTGTGACACGTCCGGCTGCAACGCAGGCTATCGCACGGGCGCATCGCGGCCTGAAACCTCGGAGCTCGCTTCGCTCGTTTAGCTAACTTTTAGCTATTCTGCACTGAAACACAGGAGGTCGACTTGTGGCAAGTCGAACGGTAGGGCAGCCCAATAAATGTCAGAGACGGCTTGGTTCAGTGGAGTGTGGTGAGTTTAAGGAATTTCTGTTGTTTAAGAAATTCTTGACTTTGAGCTACTTTCAAAATGGTACAGTATTATTTGCATCATGAATTAAAGCAATTTTATAATTTTCTAGAATTGGTAACAGGAGCTTAATGGACGTACAGTCAACTCTCGCGCCTTGTAGACACCCCGTCAGACACCCCGTCCTCCCTCTATAGCAGGAGCCATAATCGGGGACGGAGACCGTAAGTCTTGGGATACGCGCGCACCTATGATATGGGAATGGGACAATTTTTATTTAATTTAGAACAAATTGCGCCATCCTAACGTCAGATATCCGCGCGGATCCACACACGTCGGGAGCTCTCGCGCCGATTATGGCTCCCTATAGACGAAGGCTACATCCCCGGGGGCGAAACTACAATGAGATGTATTAGAGAAAGCTGCCTCAATGAGGGACTACCGTTATTATAGAATTTTGGACACTTCGGGCGCTTACCATTCGACCAAAAATTCCTAAATTTTCGAAACGGGGGGCGCTTTCCATTCGACCAAAAATTCCGGTGTGAATTTCCGGAAATTTCCATGGGCGAATGGTACAGACTTTTCCGGTGTGGAAAACGCCAAGCCGCACAGTTTTGTTCGCTTGGAACTTTTCAATGACTTCCAGGTTTAAATAGCAAATATAGAAGCAAACAGAACACTGATATGTCGACATCGTGACTTTTTATAGACCACAACTACATGGACCTTATACAAGCCACAACGGCGACGAAAATGTCGCAAAACAAAGGGTTTATTGAGTCGTACAATGGTTCTGCACGCGTTGCAAATCTTTGTACATTTCCTAGCCAGCCTACGCAAAACAAACAAGTACACTACGGGGGCATTATTTTTATAAAACGCTTTCTTCACGAATTTAGCTGCAGNT